CGCAGTTCTCAGAAGGTATCCCCGTTGTTAAGTGGCACAGGACTGTAACGGCACACCAGAACTTGAGCCTATCTGCACAGCTACAAGGTCATGCTTTTTCCCCTCAGACCAGGAGAGCTTTCCATAAACAACTAGTAAAAACTAGTCTGGGGCAATTACTGGTCCTGTTGATTATGAACTTCTCTTCAGTAAATATTGCAGAAAAATCTGTGATAGCCTTTTAAATGTATTATTGTTTGCTTGTGTGTGTGTGTGTGTCTGTGTTTTAAGAAGAAAGAGCACTTATTTAACATGCAATTCACCAGTCTCTCCCCCGCAAGAAAGAAGGAATGTCTTCTTTCTTGCTTCATCGCCTCCAGTGCAGGTGGTAGGTGAGTGCTAAACATCTCTTTTTGGAGCGATTTATGAGAGAAAACAGGTTTTCAAAGTAATGAGGCTCTTGTGCATTTTGAGAAGAGATTTTTATACTCCACATATTCCCTTTTTTTGAATCTATTGAGGGATTGGCTTAAACCTAAAGTCCCTTTATTTGGAGCAGAGGGTTGTGAACCATGAGTGCCACATCTCCTGAGACTTTCAGTCTCTTTCAAGGGGAAATACAAAGAAAACATAGGGAAATAAAAAAGAAGTACAGCTTATTTTTGGCTTGGAACACAGTGCGATTCCATGATAGGCTACAGTAGATTGGAGATACAGGAAGAAGATCTGTCACTTACCCAAACTTAAGGGGTGCTTTTCCCCCTTGAGAAAAACAAACAGTTGGTTGCTGGAATTGTATCCTTGAAATAAGTGTCTTAATATTTGGCTCCTTTTGTTGCCTGTTGACCAGATACCTCACTTTAAAAAATTATATCGATGTGTGATTTGGCCAAATTTCCAGTAAGAATGTATATAACTTTGGAAGTTTAAAGTTATATGTTTAGGACCTAGGGATAATTCCCCAATTTTCTAAGAAACAGATGACTCGGATTGATTTATGATCACTTGTTCTTTTAAAGTTAAAGAGCTCCAGAACTAGATCTAACCAAAGGACAATATTTTTTTAAGGTTTATTCCCCTACCTGTGTCGAAAGACTGCAGTTTCTTTGAGCAAACCTAAGGCAAGTCTCAGCAATGGCATCACTGTTGATGAGGGGACAGGAAATGAATTTTTCGATCAGTGTCTATTTTCCACTTTGATTTCTTTACCTCCTCCACTTTAGAGATACCTGCAAAGACTTGACTGTCTCCTCAGAAATGCATTCACCATTGAGACTTGACCTCTGTGTGAACTGAGTGTCCACCTTGTGGAGATTGGCTTGTAGACAGGAGGCTAAGGCCACTATTCTGTCAATGCAGGGGAAAAGATGCTGTTTTCAGAAAATGGTGACTTGGTAACTGAGCCTCAGATGGGCAGGATGTTTGTTGTTTTGGGGTCTTGATCTTCTGGAAGAATTTAGTGCCATATGTTTCAAACCTTGCTGTGCAGGGCCCTAGTTTAAGGCAGCCTCTCATGGGCCATGGAGGGAGGAAGCAGGTGGAAAGAGGTGGTAAGAATTAGCCTTGTCCATCAGCACAATTCTTATCTCCTCTGTAAATTGGGCTCTACAGCAGATATTTTTTTTGGATTTTATTTATTTTTCTTTAGAGGGGAAGGGAAAGAGAGAAATATCAATGTATGGTTGCCTCTCATGAGTCCCCGGCTGGGAACTGGCCTGCAACCCAGGCATGTGCCCTGACTGGGAATCGAACCGCGATCGTGTGGTTCGCAAGCCCGCGCTCAATCCACTGAGCTACACCAGCCAGGGCCTACAGCAGATATTTTTAATGTGATCAGATGAAAACGTTGAACTTATCAGAACCTCTTTCAGGGAAAGTACTGTAAGTGGCTAGAAAGAATACTAAAAAAAAGTCCTTTGGGAAGGGTGGGAGTAGAAGTGAGATCTTCAAAAGAAATAACGAAATGAGAATAATAAGTGGCTAGTAAACTGCCATCTCAGGAAAGTGAGTCCTGATGATGTGAACACATTTTTTACCTGAGGAAGATAGGCAGACTTGAGGACACAGCGAACCACTCCGGAGGGTAGGGGACAGGCAGTGTATGGTGTGGGAGGAAGGACAGACAGAGTTCACTGCACAGCCGGAGGTACGTGGGAGAAGGAATACGTCCGACGGGATTTTACGAAGTGGAACACAGTGGGATGTACAATAGAAAAATTTCTCTTTGCTATTTAACCCTCCTAACACCCCACACCTGAGACAATATTTAGTAAAACTTGCTCAATGCTTTAAGGACTTTAGTTGTGGATAGATTCCTCCTGGAGGAAGCAAGAGATGCTAAGGTTTGCAAACCTATGGTGTAAAGAAAAATGGGAACATTGCATGTTTCATTTGCTGATCCACCAGAAGGACTCTCTGGATTCAGTAGCACGTAATACTACTACTGTGATTTGTTATAGCAAAGAACATAGAGCAAAAGCAGCAGGAAAAAGATTAGCAACAGTGGGGTCCAGAGAGGTCCCGCATGCGCTTCTGAGAGGTTGTCAGAGGTGACAAAAGAGTGCTTTTTTCTAGCAGTGAACTACAGGGACACATGTGAAATGCCTGTCCAGGGGAGCCCAAACAGAGAGGTTTCAGGTCTCAGGTTTTTAGTGGGTGCTGGTCACGTAAGACACATTCCGCTTTGCCACGGGCCTTGGCAACCAAACCCAAGGATAGCAACAATGAAACCAGGTACACATCATTAATCTTGGTGTTTGCGTAAGGCAGCTCAAAAGCCACTATAGCATGGTCCATTGCTTCAGGTATAACAAATTCGTCAATCACTGACATAAAAAACATTCTGAGGACCACATTTCCAGGAATGTCCCAGGAATTGGCCAAGGTTCACTCCTGGATCCTTTGAAGACATAAGTCATAAGCAATCAGGCTTCCTGTGTCGTTTTTTTCCCCCTCACAATACCAAATCTGGCTAGGACTGGAAAAAGGGTTTCACAGCTATGAAATCCCTCACATGGGGTAGAGGTTGAAGATGGCTTCTGCCACCTGGAGGCAGATCACAGGGTAGGCAAGAAAGCCTCTCTTGGAGGGAAGCCTCTGGCTGAAGAGAAAGAAACTGTATCTTTCAAGTCAGTGTTTAATTTCATGCTAGTTGCTGTATTTATTTTGTAAGCATTTAGTACATTTCTTACGTAAAAGTTTGAGCCTGTCTCAGTGACGCCATAGGAAATGAAGGGCATATTTATTCATCCTACAAACTACACTGAGGACTTATGTGCTGTTTGCTTGAGACTGTTATAACCATTGTGGTTAACGAAAAGGGAGATGACTGCTCTTACCAAGCCCACAACTCTGGTGGAGAGAAAATGTGACTTGAGGAAGCTAGAATCCGTTGCCTTGGAGCAAAGTCATAAAAGACGACTGGTGTTCTACCTGGAAGTTTAGAAAAAGGAAACCCAAGTGAAACGAGTTTCTGAAAAGTCTATTTTATCAGACTTTTTTTTGCATGCCTAACTAGGTGACCAACCACCCCAGTTTACCTGGAACGAGGGGTTTCCCAGGACACCGACTTTCAGTGCTCAAACTGCGACAGCCCTGACCTGCGTCACTACTCTGTGGACTGTTCTCCCAGCCCCAGGGGTGGATCCTGGAAGCCATGTCTGTCTGCTGAATTAGAGATTAGCCAATGTTTGTCTTGAGCAGCCGACTGAAGAAACTGCTCAGAATCTAGGTGCAGAGCTGGAGAGTGAACTCTCACACACGCTTGTCATTGAGGTCTCTAGGACAAATCTAGTGTCTCACCTTTTGAAAGCCCGTTTAACTTTTCTCTGAGGTATCCCAATCTCCTTTTAAGTTCTCTCTGCCCCTATTTTTGCTTAAGCTAATTTAAATGGACTTTGTTATCAGAAACTTGACTAAATCAATTCCCCAGGTAAGAGTATTTCCAAGTCTAGACAAACAGCTCTGGTTTAGTGAAAAATGCCCCTAAATTATTATTCCTCAGGCTTACTGGAAATACATCTTGGGAAGAGCTGGCTGCCTGGTTATAGAACTGTACTTTCAAGTTCTGAGTGGACCTACCTATTGAATACACTTCTCATTTTAGATTAGTAAATTGGCTTTATTTGGGTATTGCTCTTTAAAAATAAAGTGTACAGACTCTATTACAACCCAGGTCTGACGCATAATCCCACCCGTTCCCCCAGGGGCACGTTAGTTGCTCCCAGGTGTTCAGTTTAAGCTTCTCAGATGAGTAACTTTGGTGCTCAAATCCTGCTGTACTTTCTGCTCACAAGTAACTTCTTCCCATTTGACCATTGTTAACAGTGGGGTTAGTTTTGCATAGAACCCCCTTGCCTTTGGAAGCTCTCAGGCACACCTGCTATTCTGTGGTAACCCCCTTTTTGTCAGCTTTGGGTAAGTCACTTCAGGCGCCCTAGGCTTTGAAGGCTGTCAGCAGGCCATACCTAACTGTCCTGTGTATCTGGGTAGTCCTCTTCCTACCCAGTGCCACTCAGGTACACCTACGCACCGCACCCCTCAGCTTGTCTATTCCTTTTCTCCAGCAGTTCTCCCTCGCTGACTTCCACCAAAGTGGAATTAATCAGACTTCTTTTCAGGTCAGCTTCAGCACCCCTTAATTTTAACTGTGCATCAGGTTATTGCCTGGGTAGCTTTCTAAGGGGGAAAAAAAGATGCTGGGCAGCCCTGCAGACCTCCGGAACCCTTCCTGGGCATGTGCTCCAGAAAGCTGAATTCCAGAAAGCTGCCCCGGGGACTCTGATGCACTGTTGGCCTACTTACAGCAGGCCTGAGCCTGGGTTCCCGAGATAACTTCTAGTGTTTTCCTTCCAACTCTTCGTAAATTTATCATCCTTAGGAACTTAAAAGTAGAACAAACTTTTTCCTGACCATTGTAATCATTATGATCACTAACATTATAAAGAATTAAGTGTTGGGTGCTGCCCCTACTAAGTCCCTGAGACCCCCCTGATCCCATTACCCGAAAGAAAACACTGCCATTCAAGATTAAGCACGTATTTATTTTAGTTCAGTTAAAACATACATTGTTTCATTGAAACGGTGTAGCACTCCCTGCCAACAAGTCATACTGGAGTTGTTGGCCTCTAACAGTGCAAGAGGGATTTTTACACTATATACATAAGATGAACATACCCAGGTTTTCAAAAGTCTTTTTGTAATTACACTAAATCACATTTTGATAACTACTGCATTTTGAAAATTTAGACTTTATTTAAAATTTAAATAAGAGATCTGAACTTGCACCAAGTTTTCATGAAAAAAAAAATGTAATGGACAGCCAGTTTATTGCAAGTATAATTTAAACAATATTTAAAATTTGTAGTGTTTACACAATTTATCAACTTGTTTATATTGAAATTTCTGTACAGGTAATTTGGGGACAATTCTCAGATATATGTGAACTCATCAAAATGCAGTTGAGAAACTTACAGGACTATATACACTTGAACCCAAGACCCAACCTGACCTATGGAATTATATACAGCCTATTTACAAACACGTATGGACAATGTATGTACACAGGTTATCATAAATATTGAAAAATAGGTTAGCTTTAATGGATTAATGCTGTTCTATAAATAACATTACAGTTGTAACTGAAACACCCATGGAAGACAGTAATGCAAAATGAGGTGACGGGACAGTGGTTTCGATACCGCAGACTGCTTACTGATGGGAATCCACTGTTTAGGGGCCTCAAGACAGACAAGATCCCTCCAGGAACATTACATAATGGAATTCACCCCAGGCCGCTGACTCTGAACCTTTAATAGTCAAAGGTTGACTGAGCCTCCCCATACCCATTGGCTGTGAGGATTCTTTCCTGGTTCACAATGTTATCTCCTCCCATTAAGAAAGGAGGTAAACTAGAGAAAAAACGGCTCTCTACTTGATAATCCCTGGTGGGTCTTAAGAGACAAAATCAGCAATTCTTTTAGGAACTCAAGCAGAAGTGCCAGTTCTTGGTCTGAACTAGAGGTGAGGTTTGGATTCGGAGGGAATACCAAAAGCCCAATTAAATGAAAGCAGTGCTGTAGAATACGCCTTCTCACTGCCTTTCTAGATGGTCCCCGATTCCTTTATTTGTATAAAAACAAACAAAAATGGACCATTGGTTTCACCCAATGTAGCACTACAAGGCGTCTTCCAGTTCCACAAGGGTCTTTAAGTACAGACATAACTGGTCTATAATCTAGTCACATATAATACAAGGATGTGTCACAAAAACCATGTCTGCCACATTTCTGGCCCTTGCCCAGAACTAAAAATGTTTAGTTCAAGAGAAAACCTTAACAGCCAGATGACCAATCGATGATTCCATTACTTGCTTCCCTCAACCACTAATGGAATTATGTATATTAGATTGTAGACATTATGCCTGATAAGCAAAGTACCACATTATTTAATAATATATTCACCATACACCGTAACATACAATAGATGTGCTCTTAAAAGCCAAGTAATTTTTTCAGTTCTAACTGGAATTTACATGGAAGGGTGATCATGCAGTTGGACCGACTACTTACACTCAGGTTGCACTGTTTTCCCTAGCTAACCATTTGTTGGATGTAAACAAATAATTCTATGTTGTACCAGAATGAGATGACAATCCAGTGCAAGTAAGTTTTGCAAAAAGCTTACTGCATGAGAAACCCAGTGGCCTGTATGAAGAGAACTTATACCAAATGTCGGTGTAGCCTGTGGATTAGACCTCCACTGTAGACAAAACACGAACACGACTAAGCCATGTATTTTATCAAGTAATTCATACTTCCAGTAGTAGGTGAGCATTTTTGAAAAGTTGTACTCTGGATAGAATAGTTTTGGCCTATAGCCATCAAATGCCCATTTTCCACTGCTGGAAGCAAAGTCAAACAGAGGGCTGGCCCCAAAAACCCAGAGCTGTCAATCCAGCTCCAGAGACAGATGCAACTGAATAAACCCTGTCTTACCCAATTGCACTATTTGGTACCTCAAAATTAGTTATTTTAATTCCCACAGAAATATCTGCATTATCTTCCATTCTAATAGATTGAAGCCATAAATATTTGTCTGAATGAACTAAATATTTGGGAACAAAGGAAAACGATGAACACAGTTCATCTGATTTGGTATTAACAATAAGCAATCTATTACCCTTGAACAGTGAAGTTTGAATGGAAAAACTATGCTCCTATTCATGGTACAGTTTTTCATTACATCATTTTGTCTAAAAACAATTTTGGGTAAAAAAAATATTTGGCTTATTATGCCTACAAAAAGGCAATTCATTTCATAATACTAATATCTTTAAACACCAATGAAAAAAATTTTACGCAATTTATTGACAACTGTTTTTGGACAATGTTCAAAAAAAGCATTTTTTAAAAGTAAAATAGTGCTTCTGAGGTCTTTAAATATTTTTGGTACAAAAAATAATAGTGTTTTTCTCAATGGTTATTTCAATACTTTGCTGCAAATTAGGAATTGTTTCTCACATCAAATGGTTCCATTAGGCACATTCAAGTAAAACCATAAAATATCCAAGTTAAACAATGACACAGCCAAACATGTGGCTTGATAAAAGAGTTCGTCCATTCTCTGGAATGGAATAAAATTGTCACTTCCGTTAACCCGAGACTCGTGGTTTTGTTGTTAATGTCCATTTCTATCATACAGAATATTTTCTTTAAAAAAAGAAAAAAAAAAGTTCACTTATTCTGCACTCAGAAGAACCAGCGAGGAATCTGCACTTCAAAAGGAAGTGAAACTGAGAACATTAGGTGAAATTTCATAGTAGTTGAGTTGACTCAACACTGGCATCAAATGGACTCCTGAAGCTGAAGTGGTGCTGGTTAATGGCCACCGCCGTGGGCATTGTGCACCCAATCCAGAATGATCAAGGCCATGCTCCCGATCATCACCACTATGCCACTTAACAGGAAGAGCGCGGCCTGCAACGAGGACACACAGAACACTGTCAGAAAGCAACACACTGTATGTTTACCAGTACTCTTTCTATTTTAAAAAATAGGCTTATAATTACCTAAATTATGTCAGTATTATTTTACAGAGCTCCAATTTCACCTTGCTAAAGATGATTTAAATGGTCTTAATCAAGGGGTCATCTATAATACAAAACAACTATCTCTAAAACCTTCAAACATTTTACTTTTAAATTTCTTTCTCTCAAACGAAAAGGTAATCTGCTTAACAAACTACTTTTGGGGGAAAAGGTACAGGGAATACGTAGCATAAAAGGTAGATTGAAAATAGGAGGAGGTTAAGCATAGTATAGGAAATGTAGAAGCCAAAGAACTGACATGTACGACCCATGGACATGAACTAAGGGAGAGAGGAGGGAATGTGAGCGGGAAGGGATCTGCAGGGCAGAGGGGAATAAAGGGGGAGAAATGGGACAACTATAATAGTACAATCAATAAAATTTATTTTTAAAAATACCTACTTTCCAAAGTAAAACCAGCCTAGTTAGGTTTTCCACATTTTTTTAAAAGCAAAAAAATTGAAGTCACAAACTCAAACCCAAGTCATCCTAAAATGTAGCCTGAGCCAAAGCCAGAGGTCTAAGAGACAGTTGTACTCCTAATTCCACCCTTCAATTACTGCCACTATATACTTTGAGTATAACCAGATGACAGCTGTTGGCTTATAAACAATTCTAGTATAACTTTAATCAGACTAGAAATAGAGAACAAGAACTAAAAAGTAGTCTTTTTCCTAAATAGCCCCAGCAGAATCATTTATGCTTAACTTATCATACCCTTTTAAAAATTAGTTATTACACGTTGAAGTACATAATAGTATTTTGAAGTGTAATAACAGCCCCATCCCAGGCTTTGCTTTGAAGATGATTTGTTTTGCTCAACACCCCATCTTTTTCTCTTTTACATACTCAAGGCGCATTCAAGTGTGTGTCACACAACAGGCAGCCAAAAAAATACTGGTTCAACAAATGCTGAAAGCTTAAGTGCCTTTACACTTAATATGCTATCTCTGATACACCTAGTAACTTCCTTGCAATTAACTTAAGCATGTATTTAGATGGCAAACTGTCTTCCACCCCCTTCTCCAATCTTTCACCTGTGCAGACACTGTCAAAGACATATTTAATTGAAACTTAAAAGGGAAACTACCTACATGACAGCTAAGAGATTAAAATTGTAATGAAATGAGGAGTTTCTGATATTGGAAGGTTTTTACTGCTTGTATAGTCATCTTACTTACCCCAATCTTTTGTACAGATTTCATAGATTCTTTCTTAACTAACTTTATATAGAAGGCAGATGGAAGAATAAAAATCAACATAGCAGCTGCAGATGCACCTGTAAAAGAACATTTATGTTTATTGAGAATTCAAGGAATCATACATTTTATAAATGCTAAAATTCCTCATTATTTGAGTGAACCTTGATACTTTCTAAAACTTACCAATGAAACCAAAGATATCTCTAATAGTTGGGACAAAGATGACGAGCAGATTGGTGAATGCCAGGATGGACACTGTGATAACACTGTGACGCAACCAACTGAAATCTTTTGTTGGACACAACAATTGAGTGAGGGAACCCCGGATCTGCAAGATAAAGAGATCAAGTTCCAGCTTTAATTAAGAAAAATCATTTAACACCTTCAACTATGGAAAAACATGCCCTGGGATGTTTTGAACTTTTACAAAGCATTTCATTTATTTTTTTCTGTAACTATCTAACATAAAGCGAGACACAATCTTTCCCTAACCACTTGAGATTTATTTTAAATGACAAAGTATAACTCAGTGTGGCTATAGTGGTGTTTCCCTTCTCCCAGAACATAAAAATATCACAAATCCTCACATTTAAAACTCATTCGTATGGGGGGGGGGGGAAGCAACTCATTACTTACTGGGAAAATAACGACTGGTACCGTCAGGGTGACGGCCACTAACACAGCCAGGCGGACGACAAGAAGGAGGATATCTGTCCCCAGGACTGTAGAGTACGTGTGAAGCAGTTCTGACTCGACGTGTTCTATGGAGAAAGAAGGAAAACCAAGACTTTGTGTGCTGTTTTCTCTGGAGATTAGGTAGGAACTCTTAACTTGCAGCAAAATCTGCACCAGAAGTGTTGACTGCTGACAAAATGACTACAAACTAAGAGATTAGTAAGATTAATTTGGAATTAGGGTTAATGCAATTAAAATAACATTGAAGAAAATTTTTTCTAAATACCAAGTACAGATTTAGCCACATGATCCCCATTAAAATCAACAGGAGCTAAATAGCTTAAATGCCATGGTTTGGCTTACAGTTTGTGTGTGTGGTATCGTTCAAAAGTAATGGGAGGAAATAGGTAGGATGAACTTAGATATAAGCACATCATATAAAAATGGCATCATCTGATGAATGATATACGTCTGAACCAGGATTCTAAAAATTAGTGATTAAATATACCACAGAGAAGTCTGATTAAATATACTATAAAAAAACTTAAGCTCTAGTAAATTCAATTTCTCACCACAAATGAAATATACTAAAAACAGCTGTGATAGAACTATACACATCAAAATATCAATTTCATTTCACAACATGATTTTTTTTTTTTTTGTAAACCAGACATTACTTACCATAAAATGTCAAGTATCCAAAGAGGGCAGCAAGCAGGTACATGAGGAACATAGCAAAAAATGAGAGCTTGGATACATTCATCATTCTTTTACGGCTACGGCTATATAAATTCAAAGAAAAATACAAAAATGTATTTCAGCAGTAGTTATGGCAATGATCAAATAACACTTTTCCAATAAATCAATGTGAAAATAGGTAAAGCACTCACTCTTTCAGCTCTTCATAAATGGGAAGAATAGCAGGATGACAGACAAATGAGAAAGTCAGAATTGGCACAGCATACACTGTCTGCAAAACATGTAAAAATACACTCAATATCCTGATGTAACAAACTCAGGTGTTTTCAGTTCCGTAACTTATATTTTTTATCAACTAATCTTAGAATCAAAAACTAAAATAATTAGTTCTTCTACATAATTAGCTTCCAATCTTCTATTTTCTTTACCACATGATCATATCAGCATCCCTAACTTCTGAATATGTCAATTATTAACATCCTATGACTTTATTTTCGAATCTATTTTAAGACACAAACCAATGCTTTCTTCTTAGTCCTCCATTAACTAATCACGTTTTCTAAACAGCTCTTACCCTTCCTCCCTTTATTTTGAGAGTTCTTTTAAAATTTTCAGTAGATAGCTTCCCTCTTTTCTTCCCTAAAAGCTTCCTTTCAGAAAAACAAAGATTATATTTAGTTACCTGTGAGTTGAAGATAAAATAATGTGGTTTGCAAGAACCATTAGTTGCATTAAGCGCCGCATCAGGTACAAGAGTTGGGGGTGTGATGGTGCTGTTTATTATCGTCTCACTAATTATCCATGCATCCTCTGAAGGACAAGAAATCTCAAATTTCTTGCAAATCACCTGAAAATATATTATTTTTCATTTGTTAAACTTAATAATGTGACAAGGTTTTTAAAAAAAATCACTAGCTTTAAATAAGTTATACTTACCACAATCAGAAAGAACACCATACACAACAAGGAAAGGCCACTGGTATATCCCAAATATCCTGTGGGGGTGAGGGGATAAATGTTAGTTTAATGAAATACATTTAGGGCAAACATGTTTTCTCTGCTAAATAATTCAATTCTGCCTGAAAGACTTCAGTGTGGCTATAATATGAAGTTTCTAATTCTTACAGACTATGCTATAGAATTACTTAAAAATAGCTGCTAATAAGTAATAAAAATTTCCATTTATTTTGTACTACTATTGACAAAGTACAAGATATTATAAAATGTAAACAATATATAGCGCCTTAGTGATCATGCTAGGATTTTGAAAGACCCGTGGAGGTCTGTGTGCTACAACCCCCAAAGGTAGGCTTTCAGAGCTTTTTAGCTCTCAGTGTCTATTACGAGAAAGCCAATTAGATGGTGAGATGATCATTTCAATGTTCTTTAGAGATGGGTTTGCTCACCTAAATTTCTCAGCAACGACAAAGGAAGGATGAGCACCAACGATACCAGCAGAACCAAATAGTCACCATTCAAATACCACAATCTGAGTTAAAGAAAAGAAAAACAAGGTCAAAACCAGTCACAACTATGCTCCGAGTATCTTCTCACAGGACACATCTTATAGAAGATACTATAGAAATACACACTAAAAAGATAGGTGCAGAAGTATCACTGATTCAGAAAGCCTTCAAACAGGAACAAATGTCTCACTTTGTGCGCTACATGAATATTCACTCAGGTTAGAAAACAGGGCATGAAACAGTGTAACTTTTGTCCCACAGTTTGCTCTGGGAAGGCTGCCAGATGATTCATAACACAAAATACTTCTTAAATGCTTGCTACTAATATAGTGAACAAAGAGGCACTGTTAAGCCAGCAATCTTATCTTTCAGCATTTTTAGAAAAATTGGACACCAACTTTGTCTTAGCTTTAGCTTTCAATTTTCAATGCTAGAAACAAGAAAATTTTAAAACAACCTTCTTTGAAAAATTGGTTAGCAAATATACATATGAGATACTTCAACAAAGAAATTTCTTCATACTCAGACAAAATACACAGGCAAAAACAAAATAAAAAAACCCAATTCCCAAACCAGGACTTATTCTAGGTTGTCAAGAGTATATTTTAATACCCTGACCACCTTAACTCCAAAAATAATGAAAAGATCCCTTCTGAAGTTAGAAATCAAGTATCACTCATGTGTCCGAAGAAGACTAGTAAAGTTTTTCTTTTTAGGTAATCCACTCTTTAAAAATCACTATTTCAAATTCTAATTGCCCTATGAATTTTACACCACTCATTTCAGCAACAAAGACTTCACAGAAAACTAGTACCTAAAGATCAGATTACTAAAATAAAGTTTTTTTTGAAATTTTTTATTTACTTGTTTTTAGAGAGAGGAGGGAAGGGAGAAAGAGAGGAAAAGAAACATCAAGGTATAGTTGCCTCTCGTGCGCCCCCTGCTGGGAACTGGCCCACAACCTAAGCAGGTGCCCTGACTGGGAATGGAACCAGCAACCCTTTGGTTCACAGGCCAGCGCTCGATCCACTGAGCTACACCAGCCAGGCTTCTAAAATAAACTTCTAACACACAGGGGCCAAACACAACACCTCTCTATTTTGAGACAAAGTAGGGAAGTAAATTATCACTACCATAACCCCCACACACACACCATTTTTCCTTTTTAGTCCCCTGGGATGAGGAACTTTGCTAGAAGAATAAGGTTGCTATGGCATGGTCATATATTTTCTGATATTACACAGTTTAAATAGATTAGGTTTTAAGAACTTCTAATTTACAAAAAGCAGACAGGAATTGGTTTTTAATGTAAGTCAAAGCCATAGTCCTAACACTGGTTGCAGTATGTGTTAATCAGCTACCATTTCTTAAAGAGTAAATATAAAGAGAAAGGTTTAGAAAGCCTGCTTTTACATGCAGATTAAAAATTAGTCATCCAGAGTTACAGGACTAGCTACCATCTTTAGCCTTTCATTCTAAAAAATTCTTGGTTTCAACAATAACATTTATAACAATTTACTGATAATTATTTCGTCTCCAACTTTGATAAAATTATCTAACCATTTTAGACCATAAATTGTTTCTTATGAGTAACCTTACTTAGCACCTACCCAGTTGCATCTTCAATGTTCATTAATGCCTTGATCACCAAAGGTAACTCATATTTCACTATGAAGAGGTAGCTTGACATAGCTGGAGGGAAAAAAATTATACCATTACAAGTGCAAAATGTGGCACATGACACCTAAAGCAACGTGTCACCACTGTGCTACACAAAGAAAAAAGTCTACCCAAATCACTTTTTAAAAAATTCTCACCTCCAATGTTCTGCATTGTAATCGAGCCAGAGGCTGCAAGCTTTCCAACCAGTCCAAATGCCTTATGCCCCAACTGTTCATACAATAAAGACCCTGTAAGGTGAAGAGCACAGAAGCATGAAGCAAGTGTTTTATACAAGAAACAAAATCATGACAAGCACAACTGTTTCAGAAATACCAAGAATGCTACCATACCTCCTTCATTGGCAGTCTTTAAAAGGAGATGAACAGAATACAGGGAAAATATTGACACAAATGTCAAGAGAATTCTGATGAGAGAAAGAAAAGGTGCAGGGTTATTATAAACAAGCACAGCTCTATTTCAATATTAAATAGGGAACTTAACCTAATATTTCTCTTGCTAGAGACAATACCCCCAAGAATGACACTTGCCTGGCTAGAGTATCAACATATTCCCTTACTTGGCTCTAAAAACTTACATATTGCCTGACGGTAATAGATAAGAGCAGGGGTTTACCCACTGAACCAAACATGCAGGGGAACACTGGAAAGCCAAACTTTAAAGTGGTAGAGTTACAAGACTTATAATTGGTTGTTCATTTTATCTGTAAAATGGAGGTAATAACTGCCAGGAAACCCAGCTTATAAGGTACTTTTGAAATCCAACTGAGATAGCCAAAATCATAGAAATAACCAATGGGACAATATATTGCACCCCATGGTGTGGAATACAAGCCCAGCATTGTCACGAAGTTAAACAATGACTGTGCTAGACGGAACAAGTAGGCTTAACAGTCCAAATGTCTGGACTATCTCCTCCTTATCTCCTCCCTGGAACGGAGAGGAACTAAAGGTTCCCTACTGGTTTCCTTTAGAGCACAGGTTCTCTCATTCTAGCCTTATTATTCCTCCCCCAGGGCAAGTCAAGGAAAATACAAACTTTAGTAAAAGGAAAAACAGATCAAAATCAGGGAAACTCATAGAAAATTCTGCAAACAATAAGTCACAATTTTTTTGATTCTGTATGAGCAAGATGAATACAGTACCATATAAGGTCTGGCAAAGAATCTGATGTCTGTTAGTTAAACATAGGTGGTGACATCAAACTGCTATTCTAATGCCAAAAGTTTTATGGGATCTAATCTGAGGTGGGAAATGACACCATCAGCCTCACCTCTAACTAGACATGGCTGTTGGTTTAATCAAAAACAAGTTTCAAAGTGTGCTGATAAATTCAGTCCTATGGCCACGAGGGATGAATGAACTTTCCTAACTTTGGAGGTCTCTTTCAACCTCAAGACAGTTTCTACTCCAACAGGTTAGCCAGAGTTGTTTCACTGGACTGTACCAGCCATGTGGCTTTTGGTCCCTTTACCTCTGTATTTCATAAAATACTGATGGATTAAAAATTCATGTTAGCACTTGACACTATTAACCATAACCATCAAACAGACTCCACTAGAGTATAATTTCCAAAGTGCAAGGGCTAATATATTAGAATTGTAGTTTCACTTATGAAACAGATGCCATGCAAATACTGCACCAGAACCCCACTTAACAACAGCCTCCAATTTTTGTACTAAGAATTAGGAAGGCTTTCAAATATATAATAATGATGCCATTCAATTTTCCCACTAAAAACTCTGAAACTCTAGGGTCCTTTCTACTTAAATTCTTGGTCCTTCACCTTAGCAAGAGGACTCAAAAAGCCTCGTGTTAATGAACTAAGCTGACTGAATCCTGGCTTCCAGTGCTCAAACCTCCAAACTGGGTTTAACTTCAGTGTGGAATTTCACCACAAAGCACAGCCTTGCAAAGGTCTGATTTTCTTTTCATGAACATTCTATTCTGCTGGAGAAAATCTGAATAGAAGGCACCCTTAAGCTAACAAAACGTGTACCTGTCAGAAAAGGAAAATTCCACGTTATATGCACGTGTGCTTTCTTCATCTGTACAACAAAACCACCTATCTTCCACAGACACTGACTCAGGATGCCAAAAGTGAATAGTTACAACAAAAACATCATGGAAAAAATGTACGCTCAACTTTGTATGGGTTTTGTTTTGTGCTTTTTTTGGAAATAAGGTCTCTACTTTTCTGTTATATTCTCCAAGGGCCAGTGACCCAACAATGGTTAAGAACTCCTGCTCTCAAGTCTTCCACAGCTCCAAAATCCTATTCCAGTATTGATGCTGGAAAGCACAGGAGTAACTAACTCTAACTTGACAACTAAGGGAAAAATATTTACAAGCAGGTACTTTAATTAAAGTATTAACATTTTGCTATGGTATATGGCAATCACACAGATCTGGAATAAAGATAAAAAGAAACACATTTGGGTTTGCTTTTCAGTTGCTTTATTACTCACTTTTCTTAAAACATATATTTCAGGTTAAGCAAATACTACCACACCTTATATAGTTAAAAATAATTAGCTGTCTTCCTTGCACACGCAGGGGCCACAGGTTCTTCGGGACACTATGCCAAATTACCAAACTGATTTGGAAATACTATGCTTATTAATACTTTTTTGCTTCTGATTTTGCCAGAAAAAATACTTCTAACTACCCTGAATTTATCAAGTTTCCTTAAAATGTCCAAACCCTGTTAAAAATTTGTCTTAAATATGCCCACTGACTTAAAGACTTTTGTCTTAATTATCAGTTTTAATCGTTGTCCTATTTTTTCTGTCTAATTGGCTTTCTAGATATCATGCAATTATATAGCAGAATAAAGATATATTTTAACTTCTCATATTTTAATGTTTAAGCAAATGAATTTCAAGTCAGTTTCTGGAGCCAAAACATGTTAACTGCCCTGCATGGCAGACTCACTACTTACACATACTTACATAAAAAGAGCAATTCCAGTATTAGCCATGGCATAAGAAAGCCCAAGGATTCCACTGCCCACAATCGCATTGCTCAGATTAAATACTGACATTCCAAAGGAAGTAGTACCTGGATGCTACATAGAGGGAAAACGATAACCAAACATATAACAATAATTAAATGGAGAAAACCAGCTTTGGGCAAGTTAGATTTGAAATCTAAAGCAAAACTATTGCTTACTCCATAAAGCCACAGACACACAAATTTATTATTTTTAACTTACAAAGTCTGTTTCATACTTCTTTTTCCCCAAATTTGATTCAAGTAAAAAGTTCTGGTTTTCAGGATCTACATCTGCATAATGGCTGCAAAAAAAAAAGGAAAAAAAGGGAAAAAATCTTAAATTGGGTTGAAATACACAATGGAATCCTCCAACACAAAACAGCCCTCTGGTGATCACACACCTTTACTTAAAAGCCTAAGAGTTAAGAAGGAGCCTACTTTCACACCAGACATTGTCATTGCAGTTAGACAACCGGGTACTGTTTCAGAGATCACTCTCCAAATGCCACAGTAAATTAAAGCGACAGAAGCAAAGTCCTTCCTAGAACCACCCGCGACCAGCACAAGCCGTTTTAAAAAAGGACACAACTTTTCCCACCTTTTCAGAGCAGCTTGCTTGGTGGGATAGTAGTTGTTGAAATCGCTGTTGGAACTGTAACTGCTGCTGTCCTCATCCGGGGAAATACTGAACCTTCCCATTTCGGCTTTCTTCATGGTGGGAACCGGGAGGAAATCAGATGCTTGAAGTAACACTAGACTCCTTTTGTCCTTTGCGGTGCACCAGCCCGAGCGCCTGCCTGCGAACGTAGAGGCGGCGCGTCAGGACCCGCAGCGCTGGCCCTGGTCACGTGACGCGCGGCTGATTCATCCCCGGCCAGGCGAGTGGAAAAGTACCAGGCGAGCTCGAGGGGCGGGGGCGCGCGGAGGGGCGGAAAAGTACGGACAACGGCGCTGCAGAGAACAAAGATGGTCCCACAGCGGCGCCGCGCCTGCATAAGCCCCTCAGTGCATTTTATTATTTCACTCTCTCTGTGACCCCAAACCTGAGGGAGGCGTGCGGGGACCTCTTTGCCCGCACAGCGTCCTGGGTCGTGCACAGGCACGCAGGGCACACAGCCCACCCAGGCACTGGCTAGGTGTGCGGGCCGCCCAGGCGCACAGCTCCCCGTTTCTAGCGTTTGCAACGGCAGTGCCGCAAACCCGGTCTCTGCACGCCAGGAGCCCCTATTGGGGGACATGCCTGTGCAGTTGTTAGCCCACTCGAGGGGGCGGAAGGGTCGGATGTAAGTCCTCCGTAGAGCTGGGGAGAACGCCCGTTCCCAGAAGTGCAAGGGATTTGTTTACACGCGCACGCCCGTGCCTTCGAGCACACACGTCCACTGGCATTTGACTGGAGAGCACTTCGCTCGCCAGCCCCTCCTCTGTCGGGAAAGGAGACTGATGCAATATCGAAGGCCGATTGTCAAACGTCCTCGGCCCGTCCTCAGTCGTGGCCTCCGGTACACTAAAAGCCCGACGCCACCTCTGCGCCTCTGAATTCCAGACCCCCGGACTTATTTTATTTTTTATTGATGCAAATCAGTCACAGGACTTGCCGCAGCGGAGACGCGGGCCGGGCTGGCTCCCCTCCCCCTAACGGGAAAATGCGGTTCAGCTCCCGGCCCGCACGCGGCCCCCGCGCCGCGCCCCTCCCCTGCTTGAAGGAGGGCGGCAACGCCCCCCCCCTTCATGGGCAGGGGTCGTGGGCCGGCCCCACGACCGCAATCGTCCCAGTGGGGAGGAAACGACCCCAGCAGCTGCCTTCCCGCCGCGGCCTCTCCCCAACACCCCTCCCCCACTCCCACTCCGCCCCCCCCCCCCGGCCTCGCGCCCGGTACAGACATCCCCGCAGTTACCTTGGTGGTCTCCGCTTCGGAACCCCGGAATGTCACGCAGATGCTTTCAGTGGGTTTTTCTCAAACAAAAATCGTAAACAAAACAAAACGAAAAAAAACCCCAACAATAGGCAGGTAAAATAATTTCAATAAAAAAGGAAACAGCAAGTTGCCCCCCAATCGTCCGGCGTCCGCCGTCTCAAAGGAAAGGCACGAGTGTGCGAGAACGCGTGGTCGGGATGCTGGCAGTAGTGCCCACACAGTGAGACTCCCCGGGAAGGCAACGTCGCAAGACTCTAATGCAAACCCGAGAGCGGCGTCTTATACTTGCCACTCGGAGGACGCGTCAGTGGGCGGGGCCGCGGCCTCCGGTGCCTTCCTTTGTGTATCAACACCACCTGGGCCCCGCCCCCGGCCCGCCCGGGCCCCTCGGTCCCGCCCCCTCCTCCCCCCGGCCCCTCCCTCCCGCCGGCACCGTTCCCCTCGAGGTGGACTCAGGACCCCCGCCCTGCCAGTCCGCCCCCCCATCCTCCTGGAAAGCTAAATCCCACGGTCTCTAGGTCCCTGGTCAGCCTGGGAAGAACCCCTCTCGCCCCAAGCTTCCCGATTCATTTCAGCCCGGACTGGTGCCCAACACATGCGGTTGTCTTTAGGAGCCTTCTCCTTCAAATTCCCTTCGGTGTGTGTTACCAGCGATCTGCTTTCTACTCAAGGCTTTATGGGGACATATTCTGCCCACCCAACCCTTTCTTGCCTGTTATTTTTGTGGTTTACCTGGGGGTTTTCTCTAGTAAACTTGGGCTAAGGCGGCAACGTTGTCTACAAGGTCGGTTTCTGTTCTTGTTCTTTCTTCCCCATCTTTGCTTTCACTCTTCAACACTAGCCCGATTAGGTGGGTTGGCAGCTCGTTTTGGGATATCCTTAATGTGTGAACAAGAAAACCCTACTAGGGGAAAAAAATACGTCCTGAACAGCAAGCCAGACCCCCTTGATAGGGGCCCCTGCTAGGCCTCCGGTTGGGAGGATCGGCTCTTCCTAGGAGGTTGTAGGAGTCGTCCGTTTATACTTCGCAAACACATTTCACTCATTCCACCACCCCCACCCAACTTGAGAGCACTTTCGCCCTCCGCGCCTTTCTTTCCTTGTATTTACAAAGGCGCTCGCCTCTGTTGGAATGCTGGGCTGAGAGACTTCCGAGCCTGATCCCTCCTTTCCAACCGAGATGTGGTCTTGCTGAACCAGGCAACTAGGGGGCCCCTCGGCTGTGGAATGCTCCGTGCAGCCGGAAAGGCAGGACCTGTCCTTCGCTGGACACAAAAGTCCCCTTATGAGAGATAAATGTTTGTTAGATGAATGAATAAACAAACGACTTTGACCTACTGCTCTCTTCCTTTCGGGGACGTGGGAGAGGATTGGGCAGGGCATAAAGGAAAGAGTTGGGTGTGATCACAATTTTTGCTTTCAATGTTTTCCTGAGGAAATCTGTACAACTATTTCCGTGGCACGTGAGGTTGCGGGTGCCTTGGGCCTGCCCTACTGTTTGTGATAGACAAGGGAGGACCCAATTTCTCCTTTACACTCCTGTTTTCCATGCCTTCTACTGGTCAGAAAAGTCTCACCTAAACAATGTCTATCAACAATGGGCTTAAGTGCTTTAGTACCCAACTTCCCTCACCGTCATTCAAGCCTTCCTCCACCTTAATACCTCTCTTCTTATCTCTTTTTGTAGGTACTATTTTCTAAACCATGTGGTGCAGGACCCATTTTGAAATCTGTGTTGTCTTGTACACAGACTTGTTCAAGTGCGTTTGTAATCTTGTCTCCCCAGGAAGACCGCGAACTCCCTGAAGGTAGGTTTGGCATCTGATATAACCAGTGCTGGAAAAACTTACCTTCCATATACATTCCCTGGTGACACCAATCAACTCTTCTTGCTGGGAGAGCAATGTCAATGGTGGGCTAGAGAGCGCTCCCTGGAAGTTCTTGTCAATCATATATCAACTGATGTAAAAAGGTCTGAAATGACTTTTTCGTCCAGGTGAGTAAGTCCCCTGCCCAGTCAGAAGGACTGTAATCTTGTTCTGACCTCTCTGTTCCCTACAAAACTGTTTTTCTAATTTTTAGTTTAAAAGACTAACACCATCATTCATGAAACAGTTCAAGCCTGAGGCCAGGGCTCATCTTGAGCTATTCTTTTCCTCTAATATCTAGTCTATTAGCAAGTCTTGAGGGGTCTGCCTTCAAATATATTTAGGATCTTGCCACTTCTCAGTAATGTCTCCAAGGCTCTGGTCCTAATACAAGCAACTGTCACCTCTGTCCTGGATCACTGCAAAAAGCCACAATCCAACTGATCTCTGGGCTCCCGTACTTAGTGCTCATTGTCCATTCTCTGCCCAATAGTCCAAAAGACCTTCTCATACATAAATCGAATCCCATGATTAAAGGGATAAATTTATTTTCTTTACCTAAAGCCCTCCAATGCCTTCTTTTTTAAAATTGACTTTGCTATTATAGTTTTCCTGATTTTACCCACTTTACTCCCCCTCCACCCGGCACCCCCCTTCTCTCAGGCAATCCCTTTACCATCGTTCATGTCCATGGATCACGTGTATAGGTTCTTTGGCTGCCCAATTGCCTATGCTGTACTTTACATCCCCATGGCTATTGTATAACTACCTATTTGTACTTCTCACTCCTCTCACCTCTTCACCCATTCCCCCAAGTTCCCCTCCCATCTGGCAACTATCAAAATGCTCTCTGTATCAGTGATTCTGTTTTTGTTCTTCTTGTTTTGGTTTTTTAGTTTTAATTGTTGATAGATTTGTATTTTTTTAAATTTTGATTGATTGATTGATTTTTAGGAGAGGGGAAGGACGGGAGAAAAAGAAGGAGAGAAACATCAATAGGTGAGAGATACATTGATCTGGTTGCCTCTCGCACACCCCTGCCCGGCAACCCGGGCATGTGCCCTGACTGGGGATTGAACCAGCAGTGTTTTGGTTTACAGTCTGGCACACAATCCATTGAGCCACACTAGCCAGGAAAGATTTGTAATTTTTGCCATTTTATTGTTCATAGTTCCGATCTTTTTTTCTTAAATAAGTCCCTTTAACATTTCATATAATAATGCTTTGGCGATGATAGTTTTTTTGATGATAGTTTTGGCTCCTTTAGTTTTTTTCTTGTCTGGGAAGCTCTTTATTTGCCCTCCTATTCAAAATGATATCTTTGCTGGGTACAGCAAACTTGGCTGCAAGTGGCTAAATATTCTTTGCCAATCCCTTCTAGCCTGCAAAATTTCTTTTGAGAAACCACCTGACAGTCTTATGAGAATGCCCCTGTAGGTAACTAACTTCTTTTCTCTTGCTGCTTTTAACTTCCTCTATCTTTAACCTTTGGCATTTTAACTATATTGTATCTTGGAGTGGGCCTCTTTGCATCCATCTTGTTTGGGACTCTCTGTGCTTCCTGGACTTGCATGTCTATTTCCTTCACCAAATTAGGGAAGTTTTCTTTCATTATTTTTTCATTATGTGGAAATAGATTTCCAAATTCTTGCTCTTTCTCTTCTCCTTCTGGCACTCCTATGATGTGAACATTGGACTGCTTGAAGTTGTCCAAGAGGCTGCTTCTACCATCCTGATTATTTTAGATTCTTTTTTCTTCTTGTTGTTCTACGTGGTTGTGTTTTTCTTCCTTATGTAACAAATCATTGATTTGATTTTTTGGCTTCATCCACTCTACTGTTGTTTCCCTATAATTTGTTCTTTATTTCAATTAGTGTATCCTTTGTTTCTGACTGGATCTTTTTTATGCTATTGAGGTCCTCACTAAGTTCCTTGAGCATCCTTATAAACAGTATTTTGAACTCTGCATCTGAAGAATTGCTTATCTCCATTTTATTTAGCTCTTTTTCTGGAGTTTTGATTTATTCTTTCATTTGGGCCATGTATCTTTGTCTCCTCATTTTGGTGGCCTCCCTGTGTTTGTTTCTATATATTAGGCAGAGCCGCTTTGACTCTGTGTCTTGGAAGTGTGGCTTAATGTAGCAGGTGTCCTGTAGGGTCCAGTGGCAAGCCTCCCCTATCATCCAGGCTGCGTACTTGAGGTATGCCCTCTGTGTGGGCTGAATATACCCTCCTCTTGTAGTTGAGCCTTGGTTGCTGTCAACAGATCAAGGGGAGGGATTTACGCATGCCAGTCGGCTCTAAGGACTGGCTGTGACCACTTACCACCAACCTCCACCCTATGTGGAGGATCACCTGTGCAGTGCCAGGGTAGTGGTGCTCCGACGTGGTCTGCAGCTATCCACTGGGTGCACTGGCCCTGGGGTTTCCCAGGTGGTGCAGGCCAAGGTCAGCCCCAGCCTGTGTTTTGCCCAGGGTCACCTTGCCTGAACTGTAAAGCAACCTGAGATGGCTAGTACTTGTGCTGGGCTTGGAGATTTCCAAGTGAAAGCGAAGCTGTGAATCTAAGCCGACTGCTGCTAGTGCCTGGCCTGGGGCTCACTGAAGCCAGTTGTTGCTTGTTTGATAGAATTTAGGAAGTTGTGAAGCATGAGCCAAGACTGGCCATTCATATGGAAAAGCAGCTTGGGTGGGCCTGTAATTTATGTGGGGTAAAGTCTCTGGGGATCTCTCAGGCAGGTCAGACAGTGTTAGCCGGTTGGATGGAGTCTCAGATATGGCCCCAGCTTGCAGGCTCTGTTGGGGGAGGGTTTAGAAAAGGGTCAGTGGCCTCTGCGCGCCTTGATGACACACACTTCAGTTTCTCTCAGTATACTACTCATGCCTTTCAAGCTGCTACCCTGGTGCTGGAGCTCAGAGGGAGTAAACCTGAGTAGGTGAGTCCATGTGTGGGTTTTTTAAGAGGAATTGGTTGGAGCTCCAGAAGTTTCTTCCCTGGACTCAATCCTCATTGGTTTTTGCAGCCAGAAGTTGTGGGGACTTTTATCTTCCTGGCACTGGGGCCGTGGGTGGTCGGCCTGGTGTAGATCTGGGTCTCCTTGCTCCCGAGATATCCTTCCCTAATTTTTACCCGCCACACGTGGGTGAGGGGCTAGTCCATTTCACATCTGTGTCCCTCCTACCAGTCTAGATGGATGTGGTTTCTTTAATTCTGTCGTTGTCAGACTTTCATTCAACAACTCAGTTTCTGACATGTCTGAGTGATGGTTGTTCTTTATTTTAGTTGTAATTTTTATTGGTTGTGCAAAGAGGCGAGTCATACACTGCCATCTTGACTGGAAGCCTCTTCCATTGCCTTGTAATTGCTATAAGAATAAAACCCATATCTATCGCTCACCGTGGCCTCTCCTGTTTGTGTGCTTGCCTATGCCCTCCAACCTCATCTTCTACTACTCTTATCTTTTCACCATGAACTAGCCACACCGATCTTCCTTCTGCCCCTAAAACACTTTAAGCAATTCCCTTTACAGGGCTCTGCACTTGGTCTTTCTTCCACTTAGAAATCTCCTTGTCTACATCTGTGTGTGGCTGTCTTCTTATCACTTAGGTCTCAGCTTAAATGTCTCCTGGAAAAAAAACTTCCCTGACCACCCCAGCAAAAGTTTCCCTTTTATGTATTTTCTCATTGTCCTAATATACTTGTATTGCATTTTTCATGATATAAAAACATATTATTATTACTTTTAAACATTTCTAAAGATTTTGTTTATTTTTAGAGAGAGGAAAGGAGGGAGAAAGAGGAAAGAAACATCAATGGGCAAGAGATTCATCAATCCTGTTGCCCCTGGCACACCCCCTACTGGGGACCTGGCCTATACAACCCAGGCATGTGCCCTGACTAGGAATTGAACCGGCAACCCCTTGATTCCCAGGCTGGCACTCAATCCACTGAGCCACACCAGCCAGAGCTAAAAACATATTTCATCCTTATTTCTTTGCATTGATATCCCCTTTCCTGAATTTTCCTTTCCAAAACCTTTTCTGGAATGTTAACTCCATGAGAAAAAAAAGTCTTTTGTTTGGCTCATCATTGAATCTTTAGTGCTTGGTACAGTGCTTGATATACAGAAGGAGTTCAATGAGGGTTAGCTGAATGAGTATATTTAACTTTATCTCTTGGTGCCTAGAACATAATAAACTGAATGAATGTCTGTTGCAATTCCTTGTTGGTGGAAAAGGACAGGTGTTTCTTGAGCCCAGTCTTCCATAAACCACAATCATGAGAACTGATTCTAAGACTTGCTCTCAAATGGTTTATTACCCTGTCTGGCTATGTACACAGCCTGATATTATTGTCCAGGGAATGTTACTCAAAATTTAAGTACGAACACTGACATAATGGAATAATAATTAAATTCTAACATTCTACCCCTGTCCCTCCTCAAACCACACTCTTCCCTTGATTCCAATGACTTCTATATTTTCTTAGTAGGATTCCCTTCCAAGTTTCTCAATAAATTCCTCTTTCTACTCCTTTTTATTCTTTTTATCATTTTGTGTATTTTATTCTTGGGGTCATCTTTAGTAGGCATTCCGAAAACGAAGGGTTGTATTTTATAATATCTTTGTAAGACAGCTCCCAAGCCTAAAGAATAGTGTCATTAGTAACAATAGTGTAACAAATTATTTCAAAAATTAGTGGCTTCAACTCTCAAAGCTTCTTCAAATCAGAAATTCAAGAGCAGTTCTGTTGTGTGTTTGGTTTGAAGTCTCCATTGAGGTTGCAGTCAGCTAACAACTATGTCTGTAGTGATCAACTGGCCTGACTGGGGCTGGAAGATATGTTTCTAAGGAAACTTGCATGCTGCCAAGTCGGTGCTGCCTGGTTAGTTCTGATCCAAGAAGGCCTGATTTAGTGCCTCACAACAGGGCAACTGGTTTGTCCCAGATCAAGTGATCCAAGAGAGATAGAGGCAAAAGTTGTAATGCCTTTATAAACTAGCCTCAGAAGTCACTCTTACACCCTCCGTGTTCTATTAGCCACAAGAACAATTCCCAATAAAATATAGGAAGGGACTGTATAAAGACATGAATGTGAGGAGGTGATACTCTTTGAGGGCCATCCTGGTGGCTGGTTGCCACATTGAGGTTGTCAGCAGCAAACTTTTTAATTGCAAGAAACACAATATGCAATTAAAAATGGTTTAAATGATACTTTCTATGTAATCTAATAGGAATTCTGCATACTCATATAGGACAGTCCTAGGGTTATTTCTTGGACTTGATCATCTCTTTAACGACTAAGAGCTCACCATCGTTTCACTCAGACATGCTGGAAATGTCTTTTGTCAGGGTCACATGTTGGATGCAGTGGTTTCAGAGGTCATATGTGGACAGGACCACATCCACTGAAAAAGAAAGGAATGTCAATTCTGTGGATTCATTTTATCGTGAGAGGTAATATTTCCTGGAAGTACTGTAGATGTCTCAGATCCTATTGGCCAGAATTATGTAACATAGTCATGCATAAAAAACACATTATATTATGAATCCTGATGTTTGCAAGCATTAATGTTTACAATTTTTTTTAATTTATTGATTTTTTGGAGAGAGAGAGACAGTTTGTTGTTCCACTTATTTATGCTTTCATTGGTTGCTTCTTATACATACCCTGACCAGGGATTGAACTCATGACCATGGCTTATTGGAATGAGCTCTAACTAATTTAGCTATGTAGCCAGAGCCTACAATTATTAAGGTTTTGTAAGTGCACACCTTATTTCTCATCCAGAAAAAGGAAATTACAGTCCCCACAGAAACTCATCCTTAATAGAAAATATTTAGATAGTTTTACATTTTAGTATAAACACATTCAGTTCTGTGAGGACTGTAAAACTTCCCAGACTACTACTATTTTGTTTCTCTCATCTCCTCCCCAAATAAAGGTGAAAGGAATGGTTTGACTTAATGACCTTTTGTGGTATTTATCCATTGGCTTTTTTGTGTGGCCCTGGAATGGTCCATTTTGCTAGGTGTGGAATATAGTAATGAATGTGAACAAAACAGTGTCAGAAAGATGAAAAATTTATTGACCACGGTTCTTTTACTGGGTAAATTGACACCTGCTAATTAGCAATAAGTGTCTTGGAAAGTGAATTGTGAAAGCAAAATCACAGAAGTTCTCACATATGTGCTTACAGTTTAGTAAGTATGTGCAAAGATTATGCTAAGGATCAAAAATTAAGCTAGAAATTAAGATACGCAGATTAAGATGTTTTCTATACTTAGTAAAGAGAAGAGTTATATGTTTTATTGGATATCATACTATGATTCATTCTTTTGGAAAATTAAAAATTTCAAACTCTTAAAATTTTCCAAAATAGGGTGATTAAAAAAAACCCCTATTTTTATGTTTCTTGCTAGTGTTGTCTTTTCTTGTCCAAAGAAATGACAGTGACTGAATGATAGGTTCTACTCAAAATACTTTTAGGCCACAATGGACTTTCATTCCTGGCGTTCAGTTTCCAGATCTTTCTTTGCCCAGAGCTAAGATACTGGAATAGGAACTTATTAAAACTAACATACCTGCAATTCTGGTTCTTAGATGAAAAGCATTTTAATAACTGGGCTTGGTTCTGGGATCTTGATTCAGGTTAAACTCCCACTGTTTTGGTTGAAATATTTGGCACCTTCCATCTATCTGATTAAGACACCGCATCCAGTTCCAAGTCACCTCATTTGGGACACCTGGCGCTAACAACACTTTTCAACCCCTCTCCCCATTCAGTGACACCCACCGGAAAAGATGTCCTGGAACTGTTAAAAGTGTTTTTCTTGGGGTGAACCACGTACACAACACACCCTTAAGAAAGAAAAATGTCGCTGTGTAGCCATTTGTCACCCCTGAGTGGATGAGATAAACTCCCCCAAATTGCTGCCTTAGTAACATATTTTATTCGTGATTAGAAAAACTAAGGAATGTTACGGGACAGGAAAAATAACTTGTTTATTTTCTTGGTGGTGAAGTGGTGGTAAGTAAATGAGAATTGGGCCGTGCACATGCTTTATCTGAACCACAACGCAGTGCGATCAATGAGTGGGAAACACTAGGTCCATAGGAGCCGTCTTCTCCCTTTGTCTTCCACTCCACCGGGAGTGTGGGGGTACCCCAGTTAGACAGACTTGAGGGGGCGGGGCTAAGGGGGCTGCATCGCCCCAGAGGCGAAGGCGGAGGCGCCAGGACGCCGCGCCTGCACCTCGCCTCTCAGGATGCCAGCCGACTCCAAGCAAGGTCGAAGGCAAGGCCGCAGGGCGGCTCCAGGCGCCAAGGAAGGGCGCGAAGGAAGCAAGGGCAGAGGGCACGAGGACGGGTAACGCGAGTGGCGCCAGTTTCGGGGGCGGCAGCGGGCGGCGCGTACGAAGAGTACCTCCCCGGGGAGAAAAGAGCCTCCGCACTGGCGGGGCGGGGCCCAGCTGGAAGCAAGGGGGCAGCAGGGAGAAGACGAGCATAGGGAGTGAGGAGGTGGGCGTGGCTTCCGGTGCGCAGCCGCAGTAGATCTCTGGAAATTTCCACTAAGCCTCCGAGTTCCTGGGCTGGGTAGGCACTTGCTGCCTCTTCGCGCCGGGGGCCCACGTGATGGTGATTCACCGCGTCGCCCCTGGAGCCTCGGGCGCAGAGAGGAGGGCGTGGGGAATGGAGGCGGGGGAGCGGAGGGAAATGGTTGTTGGGGGAGGGGACAACAGGTTTGAGAGAAGTGGAGTAGTGGGGGTGACTAGAGGAGCGGAAGTAGGGGCTTTTATTTCGGCCCCGCAGCACTGGAGCGGGGTCTCCGTCAAGGTCCCTGTATTCTAGCCTCGGCCAGCTGGTGAGCTGCCAAGTGCGCGCCAGCCACGCTCAATGGGGGCGCACCGAGACCTCGCCGGCGACTGGGGACATCTAGAGAGTCCTAAAACGTCAGGGCTAATTCTGGGGTGCTTTTGAGGAAAGCCGCACTGGGGCCTTGAAGGCCCGGGGAGTTTTTGTGAATGCGCCAGGCAGCGAACGGATGCCCTGCACAGGAGGTTGTAGTCTGGAAAACGATCATTCCCTGTTGGCATGTGTCCGTGCTTGTGTACGTGGCACCCGACGTGGAGAACTGGAACTGTGGAAAGCTGCACCAGAGGGAGGGACGAAGGGGTGAGGCCTTGGTCCATCATCTGCGCCCTGGGGCCCCAAAGGCACTGGAGTCTGTCAGATTCAAACCCCCCAGACGCCCAAGGAAATCTTTGGGGCTTTGGTGAACGTGAGATTGTAGTGCAGCTTTCTCCAGATGTTTCCCCGCTAAGACTTTGGGAAATCGGAATTCCTCTTCTGCTGTGTTGAGTAGGCATTACACAAACACCCCACCCGCGTCTCTGTGATCTTGTAAAAAAAAATGATAGTAGTTCGACTGTTAATCTCTTTTCTTTTTAAGTTCTTTCTAGTAATTGTGACTTTTTCCTCAAGTCATTTCATCAAGGTCTTGGAAACAAATTAAAAAGAACCCAAAACCTAGACTGAATTAGAAAGTTCAGATCTTTGTTTATCGACCACGTTGCCTGGGAAGACAGATTTGTGGGATTGTTCTGTCCAGGTTTCCTAAGGCCTCTGCTTGGGCCTTTTCCTCTCCTTCCCATCTCGAGGCAAAAGCCTAGACTAGGGATTGCTGCTCAACCTACCAGAAGTCTCTTATTTTCCGCATTGGTCTTAACCTTTGACTAGAGCTGTTTGTATTGTTTTCACATGGCTTTCTGCAAGTAGAATTAGTGTGATTATTAAGAGTAGCTAATATACTTGTAGTTGGTTGGGCCAGGCACTATTTTAAATTGTTTATAAATGTGTGAATATTTAATAATTTTTAACTGTGTGCGATGGGGGCTATTATTGTCCCATTATCTACCTTAATCTCATTCCTTACTGATAAGTAAATTGAAGCAAGGACAAGTTAGGTAATGCCCAAGGCCATACAGCCTGTAAGTGAAGGAAGTGCAATTTGCACCCAGGCTGTTCCAGGTAAATACCACGCTATGATCACTATGCTATAGAAATTCCCTATTAACAAAAGTTACTGTGTTGAACTATGAAATTTACATTTTGGTGGGATTTTTCTTTTTTTTTATTTAGCCTTCCTAAAATTTATTTTGGAGAGATAGCTAAATTTAGTTTGGATAGAAAAATGCAATTTTAAAAAGAAAGTCTTGTGATGAAATAATGCATTCAGAGCAGTATTACAATACGTTTTTCTTACATGTAAGATTATTGAAATATTTGCCCTAAGAACTTAATTATTTTCAGGAGAAGTTTTTGTTGTCATATACCTTTAGCTTCCAGTTCAGGGGTGTCAGACTCATTTTCACCAGGGGCCACATCAGCCTCATGGTTGCCTTCAAAGGGTTGAATGTAATTTTAGGACTTTATAAATGTAACTGCTCCTTAATAGTCAAGTGAGAGCTCAGTGCGGCCGCTGGGTAGAAACAAGGTAGAGGGTGGCCCACCTGTGCCCTATTGTATGATGAGCTCTCCAGGAAAATGAGGAAAATGACATCGAGGCTCTTCAGTTGTCAGTGTTTGATAAATATGTTGTACCCCCAAAGTGGACATCCTTGAAAATGTTGATGATATAATACCAGGTGAAAAGGGAATTTGCAAAAGAAACAAATACTGGATAGATGCAATAGCAGATACTATGTTTTTTCTTTCTAGAACCTTCTTTTCTGCCCTTGAGATTCTTCCTGATTCTCCAAGGCTGGGTTGCAAGCTTCTTCTGTGTACTTCTGTGGCTCCCCAGAGTCTACTCCTGTAGTGGGATTTAGGAAACTGTATTCTCATTGCTTTTTATCTGCCTCTACCTCCCAGGAGATTCTTAATTTTCTTGAAGGGCAGTCATCCTGTCCTGGTCAATAGTATGTCCCAAGAGCTCAACACAGTTATTTGCTTTAGAATAGAAGCTCAGCAATACTGTGCAGTTAAACGGGTGAGCTTATTGGTTATCCTCATCTTGTTAGGATGGACTGAATTGGGATTTAACACAAACTATGAGACCAGTGTACCCACTGGGAACAGAGTCTCTGTGTAGTCTTGGTCATGTATCTGTCTATTCGGTCAATCAGCCTCTCTCTCTTCTCTGTCTCTCTTTCTCTCATCTACACCACTTGCTGGAGGCCAGGGATATGTATTTTGTTTGAGTGTGTAATACCCCATTGCTCATCCATTATTTTGCACATAATAGTTTTTTGATGTTTATTAAATACGAACCAAAACAACCTCTGAAAACTTTTGTGCTGGTCAGCTAACTATTTCAGCACCCACTTAGCTCAGAGAGCAATAATCTTGATTTCGCAATTGGGTCTTTAGAATGATAGAATCATGGGATTTTTTTTCATTACTCAGGGACATCTTTTAACTGCTCTGTCCAATACATAGCCACTAGGCACACAAGGCTATTTAAATTGATAAAAATTAAATAAAATTTAAAAATGGCTTGTTGTGGGAGGAGCTTGGCAGGTCAGAACAGGCCTGATGGGAAACTCAGGAAAAGATGCTTTTCTTTTATTTGAACCACTTAGTTGATGATTGCTTTACTTTTTCTTTTTAAAATTTGGAAGTCCAATAAAGGAAAGAACTGTGCTCTTGTGGAAAAAAAAAAGCAAAGTTCCTTAATAGCATTAGTTACATTTCAAGTGCTAAATAGCCACACGTGATTAGTAGCTGCTCTATTGGGCAGCCCTAACATAGACTTTTCCATTATTGCAGGAAGTTCTATTGCACAAAGCTGATAAATTACAAAAAAAAAAAAAAAGAGGGTATAGTTTTATTATCTTAAATATATCACTATTACTAAAAAATACTTCAGATTGCTTACAGTTTTATATGCTAAGAAAAACACATTATATCGAATAAAATTTTCTTCCTTAACAGCTGTATTTAAATTAATGTACATTTAAACATTCAGAAGAACTGGTGGTTCAAAGAGATTTTTCTTTGTATTCCTTTAGAGTGAATATTCACCCCAATTGATAAGTTTTGAATCTTAATTTTTTCTCATTAAAAATACTCTTATCAACTTGAGTCACTGCACAAGTTTGACATTCATTAGATTCAGCTGTGCCTTTTAAGCTTGCATGATTGAGAAACTAAGATACTCAGTAATGTTGGTAAAGGACAAGTGCCAGACAGTTTTGGGCTAACCAAATATATATTTAATGACATCACACATGCAATACAGACAGTTCTCAGTTTACAAACACTCTCTTCAGGAGCAGCCCAAATATAAACATACCGGTGTACTCTCTTTAAACTTCTCCTTAGAACAGTATCACCAAGGTAGCCATTGTACAAACAAGTTTTTCTCTTTTTTTCACATTTTTTAATTGATGTTCAAGTACAGTTATCTCCTTTTTTCCCCACCCCAACCATCCCAGCCTCCCACCCTTGATCTTACCCCTCTTTGGTTTTGTCCATGTGTCCTTTATAGTTGTTCCTAAAAACCCTTCCTCCTTTCCCGGCATTGTCTCCTCCCACCTCCCCTCTGCTTACTGTCAGTTAATTCTTTTATTTTTTTTATAATTTAAATTTTTTTAAGATCTTATCTTTAGAGGAGAAAGGAAGGAGAGAGGGAGAGAAATATCAATGTGTAGTTGCCTCTCTTGTGTCCCCTGCTGGGACCTGGCCTGCAACCCAGGCATGTGCCCTGACTGGGAATCGATCTGCGATCCTCTGGTTCGCAGGCCCGCGCTCAGTCCACTGAGCTACACCAGCAAGGGCCTGTCAGTTCTTAATTTCAATGTCTCTGGTTATATTTTGCTTGCTTGTTTGTTTTGTTGATCAGGTTCCACTTATGAGTGAGACCATACGGTATTTGTCTTTCGCGGCCTGGCTTATTTCACTTAGCATAATGCTCTCCAGTTCCATCCATGCTGTTGTGAAGGGTAGGAACTCCTTCTTTCTTTCTGCTGCATATTATTCCATTGTGTAAATGTACCACAGTTTTTTGATCCATTCATTTACTGATGGGCATTTAGATTGCTTTCAGCACTTGGCTATTGTAAATTGTGCTAGAACATTGTGGTGCATAGGTTCTTTTGAGTTGGTATCTCAGGATTCTTAGGGTATAATCCCAGCAGTGGAATTGTCAGGCTAAAAGGCAGTTCCATTTTTAGTTTTCTGAGGAAATTCCATACTGCTTTTCACTGTGTCTGTACCAGTGTGCATTCCCACCAACAATGGGAATTTTTGGTTTCCACTGTTCTCCACATCCTCTCCAATACTTGTTGTTTGTTGATTTGTTTATGATGGCCATTTTCACCAGTGTGAAGTGGTATCTCACTGTGGTTTGAATTTGCATCTCTCTGA